GGAAACAAGATCACAGTGAAATTATCATTTCTTGTCCAAATGAAATAGATCAGAAAAGAGCACAGTTTGGTATAATTAGGGAAGGAAACCTGACATCAATTGGTCCTTTTTTATGTGGGTCTGATCCTGCTCCTGTTGTAGCCAGCTGGAGTTCTGACAGTGACCTCAGCAGAACCACAACTCAACTTACTGCACACAGTAGTAATAGTGTGAAAATGCTGGGGCACTGGGTTTTGCCATAAATATACAGCAGTGATCTACAATGCAGATCCAAGTATATTAGCTGTGCCACTGAGTACATAAGTTGATGGTTTTGACATAGACTCCAGCAGGATCAAACCCACTCCATGCTTGAGTCTGCAAATAGAGAGAAGGGGCAGAGTCAGCTGGCTGTCACACTTTTCTCAGATGCTTGGTTAGGTGAGACAGTGTTAGGAGACGTGCTTTAAATCAAACCAGTGAAATATCCCTGCATAGCTAATATATTCCTCCCTTCTTTATCCTTCACCAAGAAACGGGGGAAAGCTTGAAGGTTTAAGTGAAATTCACTGGACACGTGATGTTGCCTTCGCATCACATAAGCACCACAGAAGGGTTATTGTCACCAGTACTGTGGTACAGTGTGGGGAATGTAAATCCTCCATTTTCAATATTCTCCCAAGAGAAGAGCTTTCCCTGGCTTTGGAAGGCATTTATCAATGGCTACATGAAATCCATGGGCCACTGGATGCTGTATTTTAGGCTGCTCTGGCTCTAGGGTGCTACTGCCCTACTTTGGCACTGAACAAACACTCATTTTGGCATTAGTCTGGAGGTCAAAATCCCTCTGGGGTGTTGATGTGCCTGTTGTAGAGGTTCCTAAATCCATACTATAGGAATCTGTAACCTTCTGAAAATGCCTTCTCAGACCTCACCTGTTCACAATGTGATCCAGGTTTCCTGAAAGGTTCACCAAGAATTTGGTTCACCAAGCCACCTCTGCTGCAACATTATCCACATCTTCATTTTATGATAAGTGAGTTTCTTCAGGTTCAAACAGTTTCATAATGTTATACTTCTGAAGATGGTTAAGCTGTTTGTAATTCTGCAGGTTCTAATGGCCAGAGTGTCACTGTGCCAGAGAGTGGGACAATGAGAGAATTGACCGTGAACTATTATGTAACTGTCCCTTCAGCACTGAGTGTATAAACCTCATCACAGTCAATATTATCACTAAAGCACCGCCAACAGTGGGCTCTATGCTTAATTAGGCTCTTGAGATGAAATCAGCCTCATGTCTGTGCAGTTGTCACAGGCTTTAATGTGAGTGGAGTGGATGGGATGGGGTAAGTTAGATCTGCCTTGCAGGC